CCCATGATTAAAAAACCACCTCCTTTTAAGGGCCTTAATATTAGGATCCTTATTATATCTCCTATTAAGGGAAGTTTTAGGGTTTAGGGTGGGCTCCTGGTCATATGCCATATCTCGTGGCCTTGATGGGAGATATCTTCAAGAACCCATTATGTAAGCAGCCGGCTACTTCAAAAATTGTGTTCGCGGACGATGTATTCAGTAGGGTGAGGGTTTATGAGGGACCAAAACCCTAAACCCTCAACCCGAAATAGTAGTTTCCATTTTCTTTTCCATTATTCCAAGATAACCCCTACATTCTATCTCGGGTATTCTCGGGTGGTGGTATTCCGGGAAGTAAATAAGAGCCTCACCAGTGCTCCAGGCTTTGGCCAGCCCCTGCTTTGATACATGAGCTATATAGTCGAAACTCCTAGTAACTCCTAGAGTCCTAGAATCCCACTTAGTAATCTCCATAATACTGCCCTATAGAATCCCCTATATAACCCCTTTCCAGGAGTTGAAACTATAGCTCACATAGCTGTACTGGCTCAAATCATCCCAAATTGTTGTCAGTGCGCACACTAAGCATGGCTGCCGCCCGTATGCCGAAACACGCTGCGCCGGGTGTCATGCACTCAGAGCATTTGTTCGGAAGAGGTAGCACTGGATGTTGAGAAGTGAGTCAGCCCATGAAATCAGAGTTTACTGCGATGCTGCAGATGAAGGATTTCCATGGTTTAGCTCGTGGCTACATAGGACCCTTGTAGGCCTCGTCCAGTGAGGAACCGCTCCCACTGCAAATGGGCTGAGCCCAGGCCTTTCTTCTTCCACCTGAACTCATGAAGAAGCCCTACAGCGCGCGCCTTATCAACTAGCCAGTAAGCGATGATGCGTCGCCCATGCGTTTGGGTTCAGGTAAGCGCACTGTTCAGTCCATCGTCACTGGGGTAGTCCAAGAGGACATCTGAGACCAAGCTGTCTTAAACTCAAAACTGACGTGATGACAGCCGTGGCCAGTCTATGATGCCGTGGCTGGTTTCTCCTTGGTGAGGCCAAAGTCCATGGCCTCTTGCGCGATGCCATGGAGGCCCGATATCGGCTCATGCTTCCCAACCCGACTGCCAATTTCCTTCCCTGATCTTTGGAGGATCTGGTGGAGTACAGCCATGTTGGCTGGGGTTCATGGGCTCCTTGGCTCACGCTGCAAATGATGTTCATAATGTAGCTCGTGTTGATGCACTTAACCTGAGGGGCGAGCCTTCCGCGACAGCACTGGAGAAAAGCGGAAGGTGGTGAAGTTGTTAGGGTCTTACCGTCAAGACTGCATTGGCCTGACATTCCACTTGCACGCATGCGCGTGGATATTTCCGCAGTCTCTTCGATGCCCATGTCGTGAGCCTCCGGGAGCAGACAGGCGCTGATGCCATTCCAGAGGCCGCTTTCCAATTGGCAGGGATTTAACGGATTACTTGCATCCTGCCAGGAGCACATCCTCGAATGTGTGGAGATTGGCAGCCTTATGCTTCAAAATGGTATCACCGCGATGGAGTTTTTCCAGGCGGAGTTGGCAAAGAGGTCGGCATGAGAAGCGGGTAGACTCTGGAATTAGCCAGTTGCACATTTCATCGCATGATAGGGTGATGGGTAAAGGGGAACTGCTTTTGTTTTGTCAAGGTTTCGCTGATCCATAGTGATCCAGAGTTTTGTGCCTCCTAGTTGCTCGTCCTGTTACTTTAGGAAACCTTAAGCCCTAAATAGTAGCTTCCATTTTCTTTTCCATTACCCCTATATATGCGTCAGCATTCGCGGCCCCCCCCTCCCCCCTCTATGATGAACCTACCCCCCCTTTTCTGTAGTCCTGTGGTCCTGTGTTTATAAAGGGGTTCTATGCGAATACCCCCCCCCCTGCCTGTGGTCCTGTGGTCTGAATTTGGTGGTGTAATTTAAAGGTGTAGATTAAGTTTATAGAAGCTTATAGTGTTTATGAAGAGGGTTCTATGCGGCTTAAAGAAGGCTTGCAAAAGGCTCACTAATTCAATAGCAAGTGTTTAGAGGTCTCAAGAGGTTTTCTCAAGAGGTCTCTAGAGGCTAAAGGCTTGATAGAGTTTTATACATGAGTTTTATACATATCTTATAGAGATAGATTGTTTCTAGAGGGTGTATAAAGGTTTTGTATAAATCTTAACAGAAGGCTTACTGGGGGTTATAGCTTTTGTAGACGTGTTGCAAAAGGCTAGAGAGTTTTCTGGAGGGCTTGTAGAGGGTTTGTGGGTTGTGAAGGTTTCATAGAGTCTTTGGTGGAAGTTTATGAAGGTCCCCCCCCTTGTGGTCCTGTGGTCTGGGTCCTTTGGTGAGGGTTTATAGAACGTTTGCAAGAAGATTTTAGATATGTTTTACGGAGAGTTCATGGTTCAGTTCATGGTTCTGGGAGGAGAGAGATATGGCTTATTCCCAGATGGGGACCATACCATGGGGGGGGCTGAGAACGCGGAGCGCGGACGCATATATGTCATTTAATATGCCTCCCCCAATAATTTTAAGTTACTTAGCAGCAGCCCAATCCATGAATCGACTACTCTAAGCTGGGGCTTGCCAGAGGAAACTATACCCCGTATGTATTCTCGATAATCCTCTTGATCAATCCTTGAAACCCTTAGGTTTTAGGGTTTAGGGTACCTTTAAGCCCTGAAGACAACGAGGCCTTGCGCTGCCAACGAGGTTGGTGCATGCTCATGGCGTGGGCCTCCGCCGGCCATCGATATTAAAAAACGATAAGAAATGATAATAATATCAGACGCACAAATACTAACAAACAATAACACTATTAAGAATAACAATACGAATAGTACAATATAGTACGAATAATAGTATTAAAAACATTGATAACGCTGATAATACTAATAACTGGGCAATTTCATCTGACCTCACACAACCTCACCCTAAATGGTTGTTTATAAAGGGAGTAGTGCCAAAATGGCCTTAAATTGTGAGCTGAACTTATTCTGAACTACCCTTTAATAGCGCAAGTAATACGTAATAATAGTTTAGTAGTAGGCAATAATATTACTTATGCGAACAATACGAATAACATTAGAAACACCAAAAATACTAGTGACTATTAATATTAAGAAGCAAGAATACTAACTAGTGCAACCATATTTCCTTTACCTCAACCCTTATGATCTTAGAGACCGAGCTTTGGGCCTCGGATTTAGAGGAGACACCCCACACCAGAAGGAACGTAAAACCCCAGACGGCCCCTTGTCAAAGGATCCCGTGCACTTGCATTACGAGTCTTAAATTACTAGATGTAAATTGGGGGACCCCATTATAGAGCCCCAAATATTAAAATCCTGACTGTAGGGACCCCCAAGAAGGTACTCCTAGTATTGCCAATATTGGGAAACCCTAAACCGTTTTAAACCCTATGTATCTCCTGACTAAACCTAAACCAAACCGTTTTCATGGCTCTGAGGCAGCCAGGACTCGTTGATGGCTTTGCAGAGACAGTGCCGGGTGCTTGGAGTTACGGGTGGGTCCGTAGGATAAGAAATGGGATATTGGGGTGCTAACTATAGTATTTTGGAGTGTATATTGGGGTGTCCCCTCTGGGGAAACCATCAGAGTAGGCGACATATATCCACAAATACAATTGTTAGACTTTTGGATGTTTTGTCAGAGAATGTCATGCTAAAGGGGTACAAAGAATTTAGAATGAGGTGTTTCGCAACGTCTTGCGATAAAGCTACACTCAATGATAACAGGTGTTAGAGAACTTCACATTATGAGGCTATACCCTTTGGCATTGTTCCATCATAGTGTTTCGAACTATTCAGGCTCCAGCGCTTCAGCAGTTGCCTGCTGGCGGGCCGTGCATAACACCTCCTGGACATTTTTCAAATTTGGGGTCGGCTGTATAGTTCCGGAAGCAATGCAATTCCCAATGGAGACTGGTTGTAAAGGGGGATAAACCAGACCCCAGCATAGAGCAAGATGATACTTTCAGTTCGGATATGGCGCATTTTAAGAAGAACATCTTCCTGGTTCAAGCGCTGAAATCAGAGCACCCGGAACGGGCCCAATCCCGTTTCCCTTACCCCTGGTTAGCAAGGGAATGATGGATTGCATCCTTTCCTGTATAATGCCCAATGATATGGTAGTTTTCCTTTTCAATTCCATTCGTTCATCCCCCATTAACCAGAAGCAATAAAAAAGGAAGAAATTCTAGCCCTTAAGCAACGGTACAGTGTAAACCCTATACCTTAAGCCCCAAGCCCCGTACATCCCCTATATCCCCGTTGAAAGTCACTGCAGCGCATCCTGCTGCCAGCAGGAGGCTTGGCGAAGAGCCACCGTCGAGGCCCTAGCGATTGGCCAGTACCATAGAAGCTTGCATAAGAACTGATTTTCGTCTTGTATAAACCTTATATAGCTATAGCATAGTATAACCCCAAACACTGCTTTCCCCCTAGAATCAGCTTTCATAGTTGTAAGCTGGTCTACTTCAAAAAGCTATCCCAATCAAATAGGCCCCTACATTCAATCCCATCAACACCTCAATAAGCCAGTGTATCTGCAGTTTCTTTTCAATTTGATTTTCCATCTTCTATGGCGCCATGCACTTCCCAGGCGAGATCCTTTCAGCTCGAGCAGGCGCAATTGCAGAAACAATAGTAGTCATGTTAATCATCGAAGTAACGTCCATAAAATAGTAATACCAGCAGTAAGAAACGCAATAATCGGAGCAGCAAGAAAATCGTCATAATCGTCGTCAGACAGGGGCTATATAATAGTATGTAGTAGCAAGTATAGTAAGAATGACAGTGCTGCTACTGAGTTCTTGGGCGTATTCTCGAGCATTGTCACCCCTACAGGGAGCTGCTTGCCTCCCGCGTCGCGGAACAGCCGGGCCCCCATGCTTGTTAGGCTCTAATGCGCCGTCAAGGTTTTTGGTAATCGCAACCCCTAAGTTGAACTTTAGTAGTGTCATATGGTAGTCATTGATATGGTCCCTTATATAATACCCTATGAATCCTCCATAACCCATTACCTAATACCTATATGCACTGCCGAATTACCAACGTCTCTTCATTATTGACAAAGCCGTCCCGAAGAATACCCTGTTTGCCCCAGGTTCCAATCAAGTTTCCTTGTTCTTGTCCATTTCGTTCTCCACTGCCCCACTACCCTACATCCTATGCCCGAAATCGCAATTTCCTTTGGATCTTGTATTTGATTCCCCACTATACCCCTTGACTAGTTCCCTAAACCCCACACACCTCTAAAGAAACCTCGCAGTCCCCCTATAATCCCTTAATAAGTTCCCTGAAACCCTAAACCCTAAACCCTGAAACCCTAAACCCTGAATCCTAAACCCTAAATCCTAAATCCTAAACCCTAAACCCTAAATCCCAAATTTCCTTTGCAGCTCCCAAAATCCCCAAATCTGGGAGAGTCTGAGGCCTGCCAGTGAGGCGAGCTTTGCAGCTCCGCCAGCGAGGTGAACACGGCAGTGCTTAGGGAGCCTGTAGAGAGAAGTAGGGAAGATGTAGGAGTACAGAAGGAATTTATATAGGGATATGTAGGAAGATATAGTGACCATAGGATAATGGGATACTAGGGGGGCTTGTAAAGTTATGCAGGTGTTCCCAGAAATATAGGGCTCATATTTTTAGGATTATAGGCTCTATTGGGATAATGGAAAAGAAAATGGAATCTACAGGGAATTATGTAGGGTTTATATCGCTTCTGCACGGCCGAGTTGCGAAGCCCCTGCGCAGGTGCCGTGCAAGTCTGGGATCTGCCCAGAAGTACGTGGCTTCGCATTCGCCCCCGTCTGCGATCAGCAGGCCTCAAGGGGTTTGCAGGGTTGCTGCTAAGGAACTTAACAGGGTTTAGGGTTCAGGGTTTAGGATTCTTTGCTATGAGAAGGGAAGCTTACTATTCATTATATACTCATATTATGGTAACTCATTTTAAGTTCCTTAAGAGCAGCCCAGTTTGAGCGTGTGTCGGAGATCGGATGGATTCCCAGGGGTCTCCAGATAGGACAGACGTTCTGAGAAAAAAACAGGTTCCCGTCTGATTTCCTTAGAAGGGTTGTTCTTAGGGGTCTGTCCTACGTGGAGGCGGGTACCTGGGAATCTACACTAGAAAAGTTTCGTTCAGCGACTTGGCAGGTCCTCCGTGCCCTACGCATACAAAGCGGTCTCCTGAGCAACCTAATATAGCATTTTGAAGTAACAATAGTAACATTTATAATCGCAACAATAATAATCGTTATCATGATCATCAAAATAATAGTAATAGCCATACTTGCAATGACAATAATCGGAATAACAATACTAGCAGTAATAATTGAAATAGTAGTAGAAGCAGTAATTTTAATGTTGTTCTGGTGAGGTGTCTGGAAAGCCAGGCCCAGTGGAAGTGACAGCAAGGCAGGCTGACAGTCTTGGTATCCTCTGTATGGATTCACTGCGAAGGATTTTAATTTAAGTTACCATAATAACATAATATGGATAAAAAGTAAATAATAGGGTTTCCTTATCATACTAATTTAATTTAAGTTCCTTAGCAGCAACCCAGAAGCAGAGGATCATAAGCATTGTGCTCGTTTTCAGGATTCAACCTGCAAAATACTGGGCCCGTGCCCCGGGTAGGGCTGTCAATCCCTGGATTAGAGCATGCTTCGGTGACAGTAGCTTCCTCAGCTTCCCTTGGCCTTGCAGTCCAGGGCTGAACATCTTGTTACTACTGTTGCTATTTTTTTCATTCTCACCACTATAGTATTACTACATGACACTATATAATTCTCGTTATGACTATTCCTCGTATAAGGTGCATGCCGCTCCAGTGCAGCTTGTCTCTGAGCAAAGTCTCAGATCTGCGCGGAGTCCGAAGGCGGGAGTCTACCAAAAGAATCACTATAGAATCTTCAATAGGGTTAGGGTTAAGATTTTGGCGGTTGGTGGTTTAGGGTTTTGGGATTCAGGTAGAATCCCAAACAAGGACCCGCAGCATCCCCTTATGCTCATTACGTTTCCCTATGATCCCAAACCCTAAACCCTGTAGTCTCACCCAGGATCCCAACTAGGGACCCCCAGAATCCCCTATATCTCCCTAGAGTCCCTATGCCCCCTAAACCCTAAACCATAAACCCTAAACCCCCAAAAAAAGCAACTCGGGAAACCTGGGGGGCGCGGCCCCAGGCCGCCGGCTACTCGCGCCTGGATGGTTCTACCGTACACCCTCGAGTCCGGATGTGTGCATCTGCAGTCCGTGTGACTGGGTTGTTGTTAAGGAACTTCTTTTAAGTTACCACAATATGGGCATATACTAAGTTACCAGAATAATTATGGGTATATAGTAGATAATGGGGCTTTCTTATCCTAGTATTTTTTTTACTTTCCTTATCAGCAACCCAGGTGAGGGTGGGCCCGGTGAACGCCGGATTGTAGAAATTAAAATTGGGAGCGCGCTTTGCACAGATCAGTTTTCCCCTAGCTCCCGTCGCTTGGGAGCTTGATGTGAGCTACAGCCTAAATTCGTTAAAGGGCAGTCATATAGGGGATTATACAGGGGGGTATTATTGAACTTTCAAACGGGATACTCAGAGTTTAGACAACGGCTAGTGTGTGAAGTAGCAGGATGCCACCGCAACACATCTCCTTTTGGGCCCTAGCCTGCATCCTATGCTTACCTTACCCGCCTACCTTACCAACCCAGCGTGCCATGTGAGACGCATCTGGGTTATTGTTGGAAAGATATTTTCAGTGCTTTATTATGCGAAATACCAACAAGGATTTTTTTTACTGCAGTTTTGGACAATCTCCTAACAGCCTAGTCTTCATCTATAATCAGCACAGTTTTCAATACAATCCCTAAACCCTGAACCCTAAACCCTAAACTAGGGCACCAGGCATGTGGCTGTTGCTCGTCTTCTTCGGCGTGGTGGCTGCGCGTGTGCCGGCCGTTTCTTCTGCCTGGACCTCATGCGAAGCAGAGGATCAGGCTTGTTATTCTTCTCATTGTTCTTGTTTGAGTATTTATTTTGACGGCTGGTGATTATTTTCACTTTTATTATTGTGAGTATCATGACTAACATCTTATTTGTCTTTGCATTTTCAAAGTCTGCTTTTTTCGTTGACCAGGGGCTTCAAAGCACGTGGAGACAGAACTCCTCTATCGTAAATGCACACATTCGGATACGCACTTTCATTCTCTGTCATCATCAAGAAAGTGGAAGAATAGCACCTTGCGCAGGATCGAGGCACTGAGTTCGGCGTCCGATCTGCTACTTCACAGGGTAAATTTTGGAACATCCGTTCGTTTCTTCTTTTAACCTCCCAATCTCCTGGGAAGGCCCATTTTAAGGCCCTCAGCCCTTAACTCAAGGGTTTAGGGTGCTGTGCTAGTATGGGTTAGGCTAACCTCCTGCAGCGGGCTCGCCGAAGCCAACCGATCATCCCTCGAAACTGGACAAACTCTACTTTTGGAGATATCTTCGGGCTACCAAATCAAGGTCGGATATGGTGGGATGGGGATTGATGGGCTTATGTGCATTTATCATTGTGATTGTGTGGATTATGTAGGGATGATTTGGGCTATAGCCTAAAAACCTTTATAGTAGTTTTCTATATAACCCCCTTTGAGACTATGGCTCATTTGGGTTTGGGCTTAGGATGTACAGAGCTGAGGATAGGTTGTGACAGGGTTACGTGCTTAAAGGAAGGCGAATCTCCTCTGGTATTTCGTTCCGGGTGCGGACGGAAAGGGCGAAACTTTAACCCCTAATCCAGACCCGTAATTAATATATAGGGATAGTGGAAAAGAACATGGGAACTACTATAGTACATTGGGTATATAGGGATAATGGAAAAGACAATGGAAACAACTATAGGACATTGGGTTTATACAATCAATCCCCTTCCCCTTAATAGGGATTATCATAGGGATCCTAATATTCAGGCCCTTAGAAGGCGGGGGTTTATTCATCAGGGGTCTGAATTGATTCATCTTGGCGGGCTAGACCAGGTTAGAGTTCCCCAAAGCAGTTTTTTCAACACTTCTTAACACTCCAATCCATACACCCTGAATCCCACACACCTAAACCATTAAGCCCTAAATCCCTAAAGCCCCAAACCCCTAAGCCTCTAAACCCCTGAACCTAAAACCTTATACCCTAAACCCTAAACCCTCAGACCCCTAAACCCTTAATTCTTCAACCCTAAGCTCTAAGCCGTAGCTTCCATTGTCTTTCCACCATCCCTACAAAATCCCTATATTCTCCTAAACTCGAGCAGCCTCAGGTGTAGGACCAGTACAATATCCCTAAACCCTAAACCCTGAATAGCAGTTTCCACACTATTTTCCATTATCCCTGTATAACCCCAATAAATTCCCTATAATCCCTGTAAGAGGTGTAGGGCCAGTGCGATATGTGCCTGGCCCACGGGTCTTGTCGCATCTTCAAACAGGGCTCTTGCTTGGGACGCTGGCGGTTTCTGTGGCTCTAAGCCACCTGTCGGCCGCAGAGGTGGGTGTTATTACGGGGTTGCATAGGGATTATGTAGGGATAATGGAAAGAAGATGGAAGCTACTGTTTAGAGTTCAACTGTTGAGGGTTTAGGATCTAGGGTTGTTACAAAAGAACATTGAAAATGACATGGCAAGGTGCATGATACGATGGTTTGTAGGGACTTATGGAACTTCCAAATCATGGGTTCTTGTTTGGAGGTCGGTGTGGTAAGGATCCCATGACGCGAAACTTACTGTAAACTTCAGGTGACCACCTCTATATCCTCCTGGATCTCAGCAAGTGTCTGCACCAATCTCTTAAACAAGGAGGCTGCAAGTACTTTCCAGGCGACCTGCCTGCTTGTGATTCTACAGATGTTCATTGCCAACATCGTCGTCATCCTAGCGCGGTTTAAGGACCTTGGGTGTCCTAGCGTTCGAGACTTCTGGAGATGGCTACCAGTCTCCTTTCTGGTGTCCGGTATGTTGGGCACCTCGATTTTTGCGCTGGAAGGCACAACGGTGAGCACAGTGAACATCATCCGGAATGTCCTTCCAATCATTACCTTTGTCCTGGAGAAGATCCTGTTCAACAGCCCAAGGATTGTAAGACCTGGCCATGTCCTGTCAATGTTTTTGACGCTCTTTGGGACCACTCTCTACGGCATCTACAACTTCTCCGTCACGAGTTACAGTCTTGGTATGATTCTATTTGGCTGTCTTCTGACGGTAGTGGACAAGCTGCTGCAGCGACACCTGCTGATGAGCCCGGACTTCAAACAACCCTTGGCAGTCTGTATGGTCATGAATAACACCTTCGGCATGCTGCCGCTCCTGGCCGTATCGATCCTCACACATGAGGTAGCCTCCAACAGTTAAATCCCCCCACAAAGGGTGCCTTACATATGTACGTCATATGGGGACTCCTGCCTGAAGCAAAACTAAATCATAAGGCCTGGGCCTACGCTCCCTTGAGGCCCCAAACTGGAGCCGGGTGATTGCCAAGACTCCTTGGGATGGCTGGCTGTTGGCACCCAGAGCTTATTTGAGAGTTTCCTCCAAATTTATGGGTACCTTTTTGGGAGCCCTTATAAGGACTACAGTATTTTGGGGTCTACATTGGGGTCCCCCTCTTTAGTGAAAGTACCATTCGAGGGTCTCTTCAAAACTTGTGGGACCTTTTCCAGCTTGCAATGGCAGTTTACACTGACATCCGCAAAGGGTTGTCCACCCACAGCTGTTGAGAACTTTGTTGAAGTTCAATGAAGCGAGAGTTGGGCCAAGCAAATTGAAGGGTTGAGGTTAGGAGAAGGGCGATTAGAATTTCAATTGGCCTATTACACATGGTAGTTTCCCAAAATAAGGGGACCCCAATATAGACCCCAAAATACTATCATCCTTATTATGGGGATCCCCAAAAGGGTACCCCTAATTTTGACAACCACCCACATAGATTTTCTTCCTTCTTATACTGGTGAGGATCCTTGATGTCCTTGGCGAGCCTTATTCGCACATCTGCTGGCAATAGTTGTCAGACCTCAACCGTCAAAGGTCAACCCTGGAGCCCAAGCCCAAATCCTCCAAAGCCCTAAACCCTAAACCGAAACCCTAAACAGTAGTTTCCATTTCCCTTTCCATCATCTATATAACCCCCTTATAACCCCGATATGCTTTGTAGAAGTTTCCATTTTCTTTTCCATAATCTTTATGTAAGCCCATATCATACCCCTACCCCAAACCTTAATCCCTAAACCCCAAACCCCAAACCCTAAACCCGAATCCCTAAACCCCAAACCCCAAATCCCAAGCCCTAAACCCCAAACCCTAAATCGTAATCAAATCCCAAACCCTAGTCCCTAAACCCTAAAGCCCAAGCCCTAAACCCTACACCCCAAACCCCAAACCCCAAGTCCAAAAAACAAATCCAAACCCTCAACCCTAAACCCTAAACCCTAATCCCCAAACCCCAAACCCCAAGCCCCAAGCCCTAAACCCCAACACCTGAGGTACTTGCCTCTGGGCTCTCAGGATGCTGTTTGGGCTTCTACGGCCTAGCGGCATCTAAATCCAAGTGATAGAACCTGTTGTACTTTTAGGGTTTAGGTTTTAGGGTTTTGGGGTTTAGGGGTTTAGGGTTTCGGATTTAGGGTTTAGGGATTAGTGTTTCGGGTTTTAGGCTTCAGGGATATGGGTGTAGCTGCTTTGGGTTTAGGGATTGGCGTGTGGGATTTCCGTGTTTAGGCGCCCACACCCTCAGGCCTAAAACCCAAACCCCAAACCCTAAACCCTAAACCCTCGACCCTAATCCTAAACCCCAAACCCTAAACCCTGAACCTAAACCCTGAACCCTGTATGACAAAAAGAGGCATTCCTTTCCTCTTCCTGGTGCAAATGGGACCAAGGTATCGAAGCTGGTCTCAGCTGCCTCCGTCCTGATGTTGCAAAACACCAGCAAGGCGTCTTTTTGGGACTCGTGGTGGAGCTTTTTGAATCAAATTCTGTGGTTTATCTAGTGTAACAATCATGTATTTTCTATCAGCTAGTTATGGTGATTATAATATGGTTAATCTAATCCTTTTTTCAGGGCCTCCTGAAATTATTGGGACTTGTTTGGCAAAACTCTCTCTCTCTCTCTCTCTTTTGGGCAAGGTTCTCCACGATCGAAAACCCAAATCCCTAAACTCTCACCAATATAGATCCCCACCTATCACTTCTATTTCTCCATATCTTTCTATATCCCCAAACCCCAGACCTAAAGCCCTAAACCCTTAACCCTTGGTTTAAAACAACTTTAAGCCTTAACTCCAAACTTTGACCCCCAAGGTGCTACTGATCCTGCTCTCCGTGATGTTCTTGTTGGTGATCCTTATCTGTCCTTACATCTCCCTACATATATATATATATATACATGTATATGTATCTCAGTACACATCCCTGCATATCCCTAAACCCCTAAGCCCTAAACCCTGACCCCGCAACCCTAAACCCTAAGCCCTAACATTTTATCTCCTAAGAGGTGCTAGTGATCCTGCTCTCCGTGATGCTTCTGGGGGATGACATCTCGGGCTTGTCCGCCCTGGGATGTTTCCTATCAGTCCTGGGCTCCTCGTTCTACATGGGGCTTAGGGGTTAACGCTTTAGGGTGTAGGGGTTAGGGCTGTTTGGGGTTTAGGGTTTAGGGTTTTGAAAAGCGTATAGGCAGCTATAGGCTTGAGAAATGATAGGGATACCAGTACATTCTTGTCTTCCTCTTCTGGGTTTGTGCATACTTGACGTGCAAATCATATAGCATGCAGATATATGCTCATATTTATTGGTTCAGCATACATCCCTAAACCCTAAACCTTAAAGCCTTAATCCCGAAACCCTAATCCCCTAAATTCCTAAACCCCTAAACCCACAACCTTGACGCAGGCTCCGCTTGGTATGGCTACATAACTTTGAGCCCTTCAAGCCCTCAGAGCGCAGCAACTCCTCCCGACAAAGAGGCGGGTGTTTCCAAAAAGGACCCGTTTAAGATTTAGGGCTTGGAGGTCCCCCTTACGTAACGCCTCATTATCCTTGAGTGAGCTTACGTGAGTTGAATGTAGGGGGTAGCATAGGGCAACCCATGACCCTTCGTAGTCCCTACTCGGGAACCCCGACAGTCCACATCTTGTCCCAGTATAATCCTTTCCCCTAACATGGAAATTCCCACCCTCCTAATATTATTCCCAATCTTCTGGAACACCAAAATGCAAAGAATTGTTCCATAATAGTGGTGGTGGGGGCTTTAATGTTAGTGGGAGGGGATTGCCTCTAGGATAGGGGCATTGGTAGGGATACCCCGAGGTGTCCAGTCCGCTGAAGAGCGACAGCAGCGCCAAAGGATGACTGTCCGGTGAAAAAAGTTGCAATGGATTCTCAAAATCATAGGTTCCTTGTGGGTCTTTGAAACAGTAGGCCTGTTTCTGGGCTTTTCAAGCGAGAATTGCATGGTTGACAGGGATATACAGGGAACCCTGATGCTGAGAGAGGTACCAGTGGCTTACTGAGTACGGCAGCCGCTTATATTGACTCTCATTTTCGGAGCCTTCCCCGAAATCGACCATCAATTTCTGGAAAGCCTCTCATGTGCTAGCCCCACGTCAGGTGATGAAGGAGAAAGACTCCCAGAAGCTCAAAATGTGCAAGACTGTCCCCAAGGTCGCGTTTAGGGTTTAGAATTTGGCATTTTGGGGTTCGGGGGTTCGTGATCATTTCATTCTTGCGATCACCATTGTCTTGATTATGTGATATCTTTAGTATACTTGAATTACACTCTGTTTGCTGTTGCTAATGCCTTTGGTCCACAAAGGTGTGAAGTCTTTCAGGAATTTTTTTGGCATTTGTCTGCACTCCCCCGGACTAAAAGACTAGTATGACAAGTTGCCTTACACAGACTACTGTGCCTTCAAAGCGACTATTGGGGCTTTCAAGTTAGTTCGGGGGCGCATGTGATCCCCCCGAACCCTCTAACAGTCATGTATGGGACTCTTAATGAAGACTAACCGTGTCTATAGCAATCATGTACAGGAACTTTTTGAAGGCTTGTAAGGCTTGGAGCATTCCAAGATGCAGGCTACTGTGCGAACAGCCACGAATGTCATGGAGAAGCTCAGGGCGCTGCAGGCGCTACCAGTATGGTGCGTCCGCAGTTCAGAGTTTAATGTTCAGGGTCGAAACTGTCTGGGCGCACTATACAGACCTTTTTACATGGTGGGTTGATGTCAAGTTGGCTCGGTTTGAGGTTCTGAGACAGGCTCAAACAGGCCACATAAATATGGGGCCCCAATTTGACCCCAACATACAGTGTTCGTCAATTTTGGGACGGTCCCATAAGCTTGCTTTTTTTTGCATTGTTCTTGTGGTGCGTTAGGTGGTGTTCTGGCTAGGGACTCAAGGATGTAGGTAGCAGTGGTAGAAGAGCATATAAGGGGACTTTTGCAGAATTACCATAGGTTGCCATTAATGCGTATGGACCTTTTCAGGTATGATTCCATATGGGTTTTTGTTCTGTCGGTAGTTACCAGCAATTTGCGTCCGACCTCTTTCGCTCAGCCCCATGTATGCGACATGTCTGGGGTTTCCACAAATTAGGAGTCTCCTTTGAGGATGGTTATAATGGGATAATGGAAAAGAAAATGGAAACTACTATAATGAGTTTAGGGTTTAGGGTTTAGGATTTAGGGTTTAGGGCTTAGGGGTTGTAGTATATTGGGGTTGTATATCAGGACAAATCTACTTATAATGGGAATGTAATGGGGACACCCGCAGGGATACCCATTTCTGGAACCTCAACCATGGTTGTTTTGAAGTTCCCCCATGTTTTGTGAAATGAATAGAATCCTCCTTAAGTAGATAGAATATGGGGTATATGTGGATCTTATTATAATGTACCCAGAGCCATATTCCATCTGCTTGTGGGGGATTATACCCTATTAGCTAGGTCCTACTGCGATTGCCAGCATATCCTGGTCATCGAGATGAGAGTGGCACTTGTTCGTTGTATAACCTCACCCAAAACCCTCAAAAAAAACACAACCCTAAACCCTAGACCTAAAACCCTAAACCTTAACCCCTCCGTGCCGAACCTGGCATCCCCAGGGGGATGTACCTTGGAGAAAAGGTCCGACAAACAAAGAAAGCCTTACTGGTTGTTAGTTGGGAATGGAGGAGCTGATCCCTGTAGTGTCTCCTATCGAATCCTTTCACAACACAGTAGCTTCCATTTTTTCCACTATTCCTACATAGTTCCTTTCCAACCCTATAATTGGTAGACAAACTATAGTAGCTCCCATTGTCTTTTTCACTATCCCTACATTAGTAGACAAACTATAGTAGCTCCCATTTTTCTTTTCACTATCCCTACATAATTCCTATATAACCCAACTATAATAGCTTCACTTTTCTTTTCCACCATCCCTACATAATTCCTACATAACTCTATAATTAATCGACAAACTATAGTAGCTTCGATTTTTTTCCACTCCTTAATTCCCTACCTCCCCGGCCCCTTTTCAACTGCAGCCTTCTCTCTTTCCTTGGAGGGGCGTGGGAAGGCCTGAGTTTTGGCCCTTCTACGCAGCCCCACCCCCTTCCAGCCATTCCAGACAGAGACCACAAGATTCTGAGAAACCCTAAAATCTCAATCCCTTAACCCTACGTACTCTCCATGTAAAAGGCACCGAGACTTATCTTCCAGCCGTCTTGCGACGGACAGCCAGGAGCTACAGCACCCACACATCTCCAGCATCACCGACCTCATGGAGGAGACCTCCTTGCCATGCCCAGAAGAGTAGTCTTCAGTAAACTTAGGGCCTTAGGGTCTAGGGTTTAGAGTTCAGGGTGTAGGGTTCAGGATTTGGCCATTTTGTGTATAGGATTTTGGGTGTTGCTTCTAGGGGTTGGTGAAAAATTTAAGGGCCTATGGTTTTGGGTGTAGAGTTCAGGGTTTAGTTACGATACTGGAGAACCAAATGGAAGAGACCATGGAAATTGAATGGAGATTACTACTTAGGGTTCAGGGTGTAGGCCTGGGGAGGGATCAGAATCAAATGGACAAGAGAACAGGAAATCGAAATTGGTTTATGTGTTTTCCTAGGGTTTTTAAGGAACTTAAACTAAGTAAGCAGGGACGCCAGAATCCCTGCTATGAAGTCAGAGGGTAGTCTTTGTGGATGCAGTCGGAAAAGAAAAGAAAGTAATCTTATTTGGCCAAGGGAAAGGGGAAACGGTATCTGGTAGAGCCATACCCTAGATCCTAAGCCCAAGACGCTGGTAGAAGAGTCATACCAAACCAAGATAAGAGTGACCAGACCTTGAAACACAAGAGTAATCTCCATATTAGTGATAAGAGTATAGGGGTTAGGGTTTAGAGTTCAGTATAATGATAAGAGAAGGGCAGGGTATGAAGGTTTCTGGGGATCTAAGCAGGAGCTGTAGGACTAGAGTACGAATCGCAGCAGCAACAATCATAGCACCCTTGAGCGGCCCTCCATAATCTGCAATAACACCCCCCAATATGATCCCAAATATACACCCTTATAGTTTAGTCGCTTCCATTTTCTTTTCCATTATCCCAATATAACCCCAATATACTATAATAATCTGAACACCTCTGGTGTCTGGGGGCTACCATTCTGCAAGCCCGGTGCAGGATGATAAGAACTACTATATCATCAGCGACTACTACATGGGCGGTGATGTGCAGGCCAGGGACCTAAGAACCATCACATTCCTTTAGGGGTTTAGGGTTTAGGGTTTAGGGTTTAGGGTTTAAGGTTTAGGGTTTAGGGCCTAGCCCTGTAGAAGAGAACCGTAACAGTACCTATAGCCCCTATTCCACCCACTCCCTCTTAAGCATCACTAAGGCTGCCAGTGATAGCAGTGTGAAGATGGGAGTTTCTCCAGGTGTTCAGGGATTAGTATAGTGTAT